GGGCTCGCACACCCCCTGGCACCTCCCCAAGACACCCCCGTGCAGCCCACCACCACGCCTGCAACACAGACACCACATCAACTCCAACACCTGGCTCACAGAACTTGCCCATTTCCAGTCTTAATTCTGATAAGTACATAGTATTGCCACTATCTCAGTCCTGCCACCACAAGCTTTTAATATCTTCTATAAATTGCAGCATATCTGGGCAATTTATGATGTCTGAATAAGATCCAATCTTCTGGAGTGATAATAGCAAAAAGCAGGTGTTAATGGGCAGCAACACAGCCTTTCAGTCTGTGGTAGTGTAAAGCCCATCGCTGAGAAAAGGTAGAGCCACATCGTAGGCAAACATATGGTCGTTCCCCTGTGTGACTTCTCTGATGTTGACTGAGATTATCACGTCGTTTGTAGCTACGCCCACACACATCACACACAAACCTGCGTTCCCCTGCCCCAGCTGTTCTGCCTGGCACCACTAAACCCTGGTGGCCACCCACCCATGGCCCGCCCTCACCTAACTGCAGCCACTTATACACCACGACCCCATGGCCACTCTGCAACAGACAAGAGGTGGGCATTAATGTTGCATCCTACACCACACACCTCGATTCCTAATTACAGATCCACCCAACATCAGCAGCTGTCACAGTAATCACGACATTTTCCTGAACTCTTTCTTAGCTCTGATACAGTTTATTTTTTACTTATACAATTCATACATTCAAATCCTGAATTTCATGGTCATGAGTCTATTTAAAAAGTACCAATAAAAAAATAAATGACTTATAATCACATTCTCCCATTTCCAATCTTCATATTCTGCTAACTAATCATAATAAAATTAGTAAACAATTCATGAGACAAACACCAAATAATTTGCATCCCAGGATATGCTTTTCTAATTTTGAGGAAAAAATGTATCCTTGCTTTCACACACGCATAAAAAAGGTAAGAAAAAAACCTTCTCTATTGTAAATAACATATCTGGTATTCTAACTATACCTAACTGTAGTATACTGAGTGCTCACATAAGCATGAGCATCAACTATGTGCCAACATGTGGCTCTTCACGACAGGCATTAATTTTATGATAATGAAGACCACTTTGTTGGGCAAATTTGGCACCACATCGTGGGCAGCCATAGGGCTTTTCGCCTGTGTGCAGCCGCTCATGCTGTCGTCGGTGATCAGAGCGCTTGAAACGACGACCACAGAAGGAGCAAGCATATGGGCGGGGGTCAGGTAGTCCCTGCTGGTGGCGTTGCTGATGTGGATGCTGGTGCTGCTGTGGCATGGACTGCGGGTGGCTTCCTATGCCTGACCCTCCCGACAGCCAGAGGTGTGGTAGCTTGACAGCCAATCCACCCATACCACCATCACCCTGCAACACACGGCAAAGCCTAGTCACACACCCACGATCATCATCTTAAATATTACGATAACCTATAATGACTGCTTGCAGTCAGAATGTCTTTATTACATCTACTCCTTCCATCCAAATGTTACGAACGAAGGCTAACTGTCCACTATACAATGAAAACATAAAATTCTATAAGGCAGAAGTATGGTGTCAGTACAGAAATATGCTAATCAAGCTAAGATTCACTGTCTAAAAGGCATAAGCACAAAATATTTCTAGAGCCATCCATTTGTTAAAAGTTCTAGTGCCACAGTCAGTAAAGCTTTGTCATCAACCCTGTTATTACAAGAGAGCTCAGGGGGGAGGGGGGGGGAGAAAAACTTGTGTTTCTTCCAGATCATGTGTAATCTTTTATCTGCACAATCCCGTTATAAAAGTACAAAACAAAAAAGGATATTCATGTGTCAACATACATTATGGCCTCTTTGTCACAAAAGGTCACATACAACCTGATCCCAACTTTAATGGCAAATACTCATGTGATACATCAGTGGACTTTTCTGATTGAAGCCTCGTCCACAACGGGGACAGGAGTATGGTTTCTCGCCGGTGTGAATACGGATATGTTGAGTGAGGTGGTCCTTTCTTCGAAACTGCTTATTACAGAAGGGACAGTGGTGTTGCTTATAAGAGTTGTCCTTATCCTGTTTACGTTGCTGTGGGTGTGACCCGATGAGCCCAGTGGACAACCAACCAGCTCCCATGCCAGTCTGAGGGGCAACACACTGTCTGGCAGGCGTACTCACTTCCCAAGCCTGGGGACAAGAAAGCCCACCTTCACTTTATAGTCCATTTTAAAACTCAATGCTTTCTCTTGCAATCCTTAAGTGCATCAGACCTTACAATAAATTTACGATAATAATTTGAGGAAGAACTCTAATGCATAGCCTATTCAGTCTTGAAGCACTCATCATATACCTTATCGCATGCTTAGGGTGGCAAAGACTGACTACCATCAGGTTGCATTCGGCTGGGAGCCACATCAGAATGGATGTTCACATTAGGCAGTGGTACATTAAATTGCGTAACACTTGGTATGGGAACATTACATTGGGTCACATTTGGCATGGAGATGAC